TTTTTTTGTCTTTTTGAGACAGAGTCTTGATATGCAGCTCAGGCTGGCCTTGAGCTCTCTTTGTAGCCCAGGCTGGTCTCAAACTCACAATGATCCTTCTGCCTCAGCCTCCCAAGTGCTGGGATTACAGGTGTGCACCAATGCGCCTGGCCACCCAAGGCAGTCTTCACACATGAAAACTGCATGTTCCAAAAACAAGTGTCGCTTACACTGATACCATACATTTTGTTTTTCTATCATTTCCTGCAGGGCACATTTGACATCTTTTTGGCTTTTCTGTTTTTCTGTTTTCTGTTTTTCTGTTTTTGGCTTTTCTGTTGTCATAGTAGGTCTGTGACATAGTGATGCTGTGTCTGCCTATTCACCTGTCAACTCACCAGTGTGCTCCAAAATATCTTGGCAAAATTCCTTGGGCAGAAACATTTTGTTTTTTCTCTTCTGTAGATGATCTCTTATGAGTTCCAGTCCCAATCTTCTAAGAAAATTTCTCCATGGTACTGTGCCCTTGTTAACTTTCTTTATTGTCTTTATTGTTTATTCGAACTATGCCACACATGTTTAGGATTAAGTAAAACACAACTATTGGCCAATGGTTTGTGTTTCGAGTGACATTATAGTTGCACGACTCATCAATAACATCTACTCTGCCTTTTTTTGTTGTAGAAAGTTACCATCTCAGGCTTCCATTTTGTTGAGGGGTTCCTGTCACTGTTTCCATCATGGTCCAATGCTGACCTCAGCTGTACCAGTTTGTTTTTCTTTGCCATATGTGAAGCTAATGTTATATCTTTTTGAAATCCAAAGATTGTACTGTACAGTTCTGTTTTGAAATTGCAACATATCATTTGGAATTTCTGGTTTGTTCCTTCATACAGCTCCTACGCTGGTCGCTGGTTACCTTGTGCTCTGTTAGGAAATGTAACATCAACTGGAAACTGGAAAACCAGCTGTCAAAGGTCATGTTCTGATGAGTTTGGGAGATGGGAGCAGTAAGTCTGTTCACAGCCTTTGTTTTATTACTATAAGAATAAGGACCTAGTGGCTGAGTTCTGGGATACATGTCTAGATTGAAAACATAATATCGTTATATTTACAAGGGCATAAATTTTTATGCTATATGTTATGGTTTGTGTCTGGGTGTCCTCCCAAAGCCTCATGCAGTCACGGGGTGGGCTTTTAGAGTTTATGATTGATCCACAGTCCATTGCTGGGATTATGGGTGTGAGTGCTACACTCCCCCCAGCCCCTCCCCTCCGGATAGTTTGCATACACTGTAAGGGAGGGAAAGAGGCTGCTTGCTGCTGCTTCTCCCTTTGCTCTTACTGCTTTTGCTATCTTCGGCCACCCTGAACAGTTGCCCTCTGCCATGTACCACTCTGCCTTGGAGCCAGCTGGGTATGGACTGAAACTTCCACAAAGTGTCAGCTAAATAAGCCTTTCCTTCCTTAATTTTGGGCATCAGATATTTTGTCTCAGCAGTGAGAGAAAAGTAACCAAGACAACATATTATGAAGGCTTTGAGAATATATTGTCTAAAGCTACAGCAACTATGAAATGCTGCAAAACATCCATCAATAGTCATGTATTCAGAGGGTCTATAAATTGCTTGACAATTCCTGGCAAATATCGCAAACCATGAGTGGGTACTAGCCAGGATTACCAGTTCTCTTTCTTTCTTGGTGGGTTGTTTTGTCATCAAACCTCAAGCAATTTTGAAGGAAATCAAACCTCAGTGTCATCTACAAACCTCAAGCTCACACCCATTGCTTTTCCGTAAGTATTTTACATTCCTGCATTACCATGAGAAAGCCCTGCTAAGTACAGCAGACCTACGAATGCTTTCAGTTCAGCTAGTGAGGTTTCATAATAAATACATTTTTGAGTATGGCTCTTGGTGCATAAGAAGATTTTACTTGTATTTCAGCATTTGTGTATTTCACAACATCTTGTAGCATTTTGTCTGTTACAAACAATTTCCAACATTGAATAGCAGTGTTTGTATTCCATCCAAGAGATTTCACCCCTGCCAAGATCCTCCCTATGTTTTCATCTGCCAAGTGGGTGAACGCACAGATGGGTTTTTGCCTTCCCCAGGTGCAGCTACTGTGAGTCAAACCCACATTCTATGTATGGTAAGATACACATTTACAGAACAGAAGAGTGGTGTGGGCGTATCTTACCCCCTGTGAGTCTCAGGTAAACATATGCAAAACTTGTTAGATGGAGCATTACGTGGGTAAAAATCTCAGTTTGATATTTTTGCACACATGCATACACTTTGCCATTCATCAGACCAAATGGGTAAACATGAATTTTGCTTCCTGTACCCCCCAGGTGAAGCTACTGAGGTGCATAGCTAGCTACTATTATGCTAAAGTACAAATTTACCAAAGAAAAGTATGGGATGGGTTGCTGTAACCCAATGTTATGCCCCACGGTTACACAATGGTAACTTCTGTCAGGTTGTTCAGGATAACAACCTATTGTTATTTGATTTCCTTTTTAAGATTTAAATGAAACCTGTCAGAAAAACCCTTGTAATCTTTCAGGATATAGACAAAATTTTATGATGTCTCACATCTTTATTAGCACAACCCTGCTTAT